CCCGACGGTACCATACGTCATTTGAGACAATCTGCCGTAGCGAGGTTTCCTCATCCGTTACCTTCGATCCTGATTAGTTTTCAGCCTCTCGCGAGTATCGTCGTTGATCTACGTCGGTGCAGGCTTTGAACGGAGCTACGCGGACTGAGATGGGTAGAGATCGCGTTCTATATCCGCCGCAGTCAATAAATTATGGCCGTTCCAGAGATACGTCCTTGTCCTTCGAGCGTATATTGAATGGACTAGGCGTAAGCTGCCGTCTCGCGAAGCTACGGATCGTAATCCGTAAGAACCAGAGGTACTACTTTACTTCCACAAGGCTCCCTGGATTAGTGTAGATATCTTAAAATTTAAGCTTCTTATTATACAATTGACTAAAGTGTTATAGCATTTTTAATCGTTAACTTTTATTAATTTATTCCTAAACTTTTTCTATGCTATATACATTTTAAAAGTAAAGCAAATCTGCTTACATAAATAGTTAAGAAACCTTAAATATAAAAATGTAAAAACGTACGAAGTATAATTGTAGTATTATATAATATAATTGTACCAAAAATAATATTCAAAAATATAATGAAGTTACATTAACACAATTTATATAAAGTTCCTATAAACATATATAAATATATTGTGTATTTTATATATTTAACTCATTGCTTGAATCGCTTCTGCTGTTGCAGAAAGAAAAGACAATCAAAATAACAATACAAACTATGTCACTTCTCTGACAATGATTAAAATTGATAATAGATATGAATAGATACTTGATGATATATGCGTGTTCACTTCCCCTCCATGCCGTTAAGTTCTCGTTAAACTCAAAGCTCAGCTTGCTAAATGTCATGCATTACATTTTCATTATTAAAACGTCGCCTCGCAAAAATAAATTGTCCATTGCGTGTGTTCCGGAGACTGCGTTGAGTGTTGCTCTTGGCCAAAATATCCGGGACGGACATTCAGGAAATGAGTGAACGCACAATAGCTTGTCGGCGCAAAAAAGACGCGATCTGATTTATCGCGCGGCGTTCCATTTTAAAGCGTGTCCAGCGATACCGACGTCATTTAACATTTTGATTAATGCATAACGTTACATCTTTTTATCATTTACTGGGACGCACGCGAAAACGGCGATGTCATTCTATTCGCGCGCTAACGAATGAAAACGTCAATCGGCACTGTGCTCGTCGAATGGAGTCCCGATGAAATTGCTCCGAGCACGCGTGAGAAATTTATATTCCCAGTTCCAGAGCGATGCGTGTCCCGACGAAAAGCGAGGAGAGGAAGGGTTATGCTAATCGCGGTAATTGGCTTCAGCTTGAAAACAACTGACAATAAGCCTGATACATTAATATTGATATATATAATGGATACTTTCGCGATACACGTGATGCCGCAGGTGCGCGCGTATATAATTATGACCACTGTACTACAGGTGCAAACGAAAACATTTCTAGGCGAGCAATACAATAAACTGTAACTGTCAACGATTGATTTGTTTACCGTCAATGCAAGGATCTCGATTCTGGACGGTTTTAAAATACATGGGCCGTGCAAATTTTATATGGTTTCAATTTATTTTCGTCATTTTGCAGCCATGTATCTAGCGACGAAACGCACTCCGCGTTGTAAATGGAAATTTACAATAGGCATCCGCTATTTGTTTCACTCAAACGAATGTCATTGAGATCTCCGCTGACATTAACCGTATATGGTAAACCACCGATAAATAAATGTTTACTGTGCACGTTAACTCCGAACTGGTTGAATGACTAATATAGGTGTACTTGAAACAGGTGTGACACGAAACTGTTTAATTACTACATCGATGACAGTGACACAAAAACAGAGATTGTAGAATTAATTGAATAATTCGCGAGTGGCACATATTGCTTTTTATTTTAATAAACAATTAAGCTGTTAAGTTATTGCTTAGCATTTATATCACACATCTATTATACGGCAAAAGAATTCATCTCATAGCTATCATATATTTTTTACACAATTACGTACATCTTTAGACGCTGTCAATTTATATTGAATACATTTAGGCAAGCAAATGTACTTTATTGTTATCTAAAACATAATATCTTATTGATAGAATAAAAATATCTAATTTGTAGAAATAAAATATTTAATCGACTGCGTATTTAAAACGAAATTTGTAACGCATGCGATATTACTGCTAGCTATTACGTACGTGTTATTTATAGTTCGTATCAGTTACCTTCCTACATACATATATATATAACCGATGTAAAACAGCGTATTGTATTAACTCATCATATTTTTTATGCATCATAAATTATATAGTGTTTTTCATCTAGGAATACAAAGCAATTCCACTTGTAACGATTCCACATCGATTTGCATATTGTCAAAGCAAAACTAGTTTTTTTATCAACTGGATCTATTCTAAAAAAATGGGAATAAGAAAACAAAATTATTTGATCATTTGATTGGCAGAGAATTGCGCAATAGTTAATAATTATCCTTTCTAGTAAAATTATTATAAATTTTGTATAAAATGTACGTAAGTACGCTGAATATCGAGATTAGTCATGCAATAAAATAATGATACCAAATTTTGCTTGGACGTGGAAATGGTTAAGGAGAATATGTCAATGGCAGGAAGATTCGCGAAAATTAAGCCGCACGGTAACAATTAGCGAGTCCACTGTGGTTTCGGTTATGTTCTGCAGGAGTTTCTGTATTGGGTCGTAAAAGACCCCAACGTAAACTGAGATAATGGGCCGACTTGGTCCACTTAAGGCGCCGGAACTTACGCGCGTTCGTGGGCAAGTACTACGGCACGGCTCGTAACATTTGCAGCCAAAAGGTTCAAATACGGTCCAATTTATACGTGTACCATATTACCGGCACAGTGGTATGATTGGGTAGCATGTAACGCAACACTGAGACTATATATTATATTTTGTCACGCGCGAACTCGTGCATTATATTAAATGATGGATGATTCGCCAATTGAATATTCGAGTATTTAATATGACCTGTACGTGTATAAGGAATTTTTTTGTAGTTACGATTAATGGCACGCTAAAGTTTTTACATCAATTTGAACGGAATTCTGTGTCATAAACATCAATTTCCAGTTTGTTTATAGCTTATAAATATGTTAATGTATTTATATACATGTAAACCATGATAATTATGTATTCAATATTACACAGCTTGATAAATTACTTTGTGGTACGACTTTTTACATCAAGTAAAAAAATTAAATGCTGACGCATAAAAAAAGACGAGTATCTTCAAAGTCATCAACAACAATTTAAGATCGTTAATAACAAATTTTTTAAAATTTATAGTAAAATTATATAATTGAATAATTAATCCTACAATATGTTATTTAATAAATCCACACACACATATTTTTGTTAATAATTAAACGATTACAAAAGTGACAAAAGTTTGCATGGAAATACAAATTTTACCGTTTAAAAAATCGATAACGACATTTTGGCAGAAAAAGATGAAACAATGCGAATACGATTGTTGGCTCGTTTCCATTTTTATCGAAGGATATTGGGAGCCAAAGATGGTGTAAGAAATCCTAGTTGCATCAGCAGAATTCAAAAACGAAAGTGGATGATTACTTCCGAAACATTGCACTATTTTCTAAGATTCTTTTTCTTGCATCCCTCTCAGTCTCTCAGTTGAGTAATGCAAATTGTCTTCTTACAAGAAATCTATGTTATTGGATATCTATAAGTCATTCTTTTTAGTTCTACATATTCTTTATATTGCAACAGAAGAGAAAAAAACTTTAATTTCAGAAAAATAAAATTTTCCGATTAAAATGAATGAGACATCAGATTATGTTGAAAAAGTTTTTATGCGACAAATTACGTTTTTAATTTTATGGAAAAAAGAAATCCAAATTACCTTTTGCTACAAGTAAATTCATCTATGTTTTATAATCATATTAAGGAATTTCTTTTCAAAAAATAAACTGCAATTTGAGATAACGAAATAGCACTATTTAAAACTATCAAATCTAGAAGATTTACTGTTATCTAATTTAATACATGGAGCTGGCATTTTTATAAGATCTGCTAGATTATTTTATCCCAGAACGAAAAAGAGAACGATTGCGCATAATGGTCGCGCGTGGCACAAAAGCGCACTGCATCGCATAAAGGAGTCTCCCTCACCGTTCTCTTCGTCGAAAATACGCAATGTCTTTTATTCCTAAGTTTCACGATCGTGGAAGTTGCGCGAGAAACAGTCGAGTCTGCCAAAATTTAAAGTGGTTCCAAAACGCGGTATTGTACAAAACACAACGGGGCAATTCGCTTCCGCATGGGACCGACCGACTGTCTGCGACGCTAAAAAGGATAGTCCGCGGATTCAGCCGATTCGCCTCGACGTAGGAAGTCGATGCGCGCTTTTTGCCAGCGCGAAAACTTCTCTTCGTAAGTACTCGTTTTCTGAGTGATACGCAGAGCGTATATCTAACGAGTGACAGCTTCAGTCCCGCGTGTGGGTCAACTACGTTTGGACCCACTACAGAGTTCTTCGCTTTTCTCGCTTCCTCCTTTGAAACGCGACTGGCGAGTGAGTTTAAATCGATGACAAAGGAGATGAGAGGAAGGCCGAGTTTCAGAAAATATCCGAGACTGTTGGAATGTCTGACCGATGCAGACGTAAATAAGCATGACTCTAGTCTTTATATTTATACACCGCAATATTGTGATTATATCAAAATCTTGTTGTGAACATTCCTGCGTCAACAAGAATTAACGACGACGATGATGATTTTATCATCAACAGACGATTATATAATCTTCGTAAAAGGCGAAAAACAGAATTAAATTAAATATAATAACATGGTCATAAAGTTATCTGTCGCCTTGAGGGTTACAAAAACAATCAGCTACACACACAGAGAGAGAGAGAGAGAGAGAGAGAGAGAGAGAGAGAGAAAAGATAAGCAGAACGATACGATTTTTCTCTTAAACCAGTTAACTCGAGGCATTGCCTTTCCTTACTAACCGTAGTTTGAGTTAATTTCCTCATCCACCTCCGTCCGGCAATTACAATTCCATCCAGTTATTTTTCAGAGCCAGACATCGCGCTGCTCCGCACGTTTTGGGATCGCTTCGGGTACGACTTTAATTTGTTCGTTACATGGATAATTAGCAGAGGCAACGCGCCGTGACCGGGTCGAGCCGGGAATTTTGCGAGCGTAATTATTTTAGTTAATGCCCCCGGCGTATTTTTTTTAAAAACGCCGCGCCGCGCCGGGGCGGCGCGTTCCTAATATCGAGTACATTAAGCCGTATATCTCGAAGAGCGAAAAGCACCGTGAAAAATACATCAATTTGTCTAGCGGAATTTCGTGGTTGGCATCCCGTGAAAAGCATAAAACTGCACGGCGCGCTTACACAGTGGCAGCAGGAAGACGGCTGCTCCTCACGTTCCTAATAATAATAAGAGAGCCCGGGCGAACGGGACGAACAAAAGTGCCGGAGGAAACGCGACCTACGTGGCACGCTGATGCTCGACCGTTACTTGTGCTCGGCATTTTGCCAGTAGCAATGAAAAACATCTTGGAATAATGTAACTTGCATCCAAGGAAAATGACGAGGCGTGGATCTGTGTTGCGAATCGCTATTGTGGCTTGTAAGTTATTCATGCACACGTCATCCGGTACATAGTTCACGACTTATCGTTTGAAATTGACCACGCGCATCCATAGGCGTCATTGTGTCCCCAATTGATTACCCAAATCGATAACCCCTGACTGAGATTACACGGTCTCTGTGATGTGGCCAAACTTGTACTTTTCGTACAAGTGGATCGATTCGCGAATTATATCAGCCAATGAGCGTTTCACGGTACGCCGATAACCACGCGTTTCAACGTCGTTCGCCAAGTTGCAGATTCATTTGCGTTAGCGCAAAAAATCACGGATATATTTTTCTCTTTCCTTGTCTATTCATACGCCACATTTGGACGCGGGCTGAATAAATCTGGTTTCTTTTTCGAGCGCGCGATTTTTCAATCGCGATCCGAACAATACGGGGTTACGATGGGGGGAAGCGGGAGGGGGGGGAAGGGGGAACTGCCGTGTGCAATTGCGTAGCAATGAATTTCCGATTTATCGTTCTGCTATTTTTATCTTTACACCACGGTCAGTGCTTGCATCGCAATTTACGATGGAATTTCTGACATTCGATAGAGCAAATATTATGCATGTATATGTATATAGAAGCGGCCGACGTACCGTACATACTTGAAACCCATCAAAGCAACGTTTTATCGCGTATATATTGAGAAAAGTAAAACTGATAATTCCCGCGGAAGAAATACGCGACACAAATACTCGAGTAGATTAATGATCCGATTTTACGATTTCCACTACAAAAGACACTAATGTTTCACTGTGGCAGAAAGAGAATCGCGCACCTAGCACGGGGATATGAACAGTTGAACGACCCAACATCACCGTCAGAGAAACATAAAACTCAGCTACGATGTCACTCGTTTAATGAGTTGGGGCGAGGTCGGAATTTTGACTGAACATCCGTCGCCGTTTGCGACCGCCACAAAGTCGATGCGCATACGGTATCTTTTTTTTTTTTTTCGATGGATCGTAAAAGCTTGGATATCACATAGCCGACCAACTGACCCGGATGTCTGGGTAGCGTTATAAAGGGATGTCACGTCCCGTTCATAATACGTGTCTTTTCCGCGATTTTTGTACGTCAAATTCCTACAATATGGACCAATTCGTATAATATCTGCACTTCGATTCTGGTCCCGATACATGTTTTACAAGCACTTTGGGACCAACACATGCGAAAATAACATTAAACTTTTATATTATAAAGCATATCATAACGCTTTTGATGGTAGATACATCGGCTTTAAATCTTTCCTTAAAACGCACGCATCGCTTACCGCGTAGTTGGTGCCCCCACCAATTTTATAAATGCATCAAATAATTAGTTAGATGCAAACTTTATTATTTATAGTCAAAAAGTTAAGCAGTAATTTTATTATCGACGTGCTCGAAAACGATACTCACGATTGACTCACGCATTATACATATTCGATTTTTCGGTATGTTTTAAAATGCATAAAACAGATTTTGTTAAACGGAGATTTTACGAAGCGCGGTATGTACTTTGAACCTACGGTGAAACTAAGCTAATAATATTTTCTGATGCTAAATTCAAACGGAATCGTGGAGCATCAGGCTCGTAAATAATTGTTTTCTGCCGGTATAATTTACGTCTCGTCAAACATACAGCTGCGCGCTGTACAGTTATTTGTATTATGCGAAACGTCAAATAGAAATTCTGTTTTAATTAATATCCAGTATACAAACAACTAAGAATTAATTATAAAATATTATGCAATAATCGACATAAATAAAATATCTCTGATACAATTAATTCTTGTAATTATTATAATAAATTGATAATACTCATACGAAAATTAAAAGTTTTGTCTCAACAGAATTCGGTAATTTACCAAAGTGTGGTAGACAAATCAAAATAGTAGCAGGAAAAGAAGATTAGTTGAACAACAAGAAAAAAGTGTATTTTTAAATTAAATTTGAATTTTACCCAATCTGATTTTAAATTAAATAAATATAATTTTTTTCTCAAACATTCTTTATATCAAATAAAATTATTAAAAAACTGGTTTTTTTGTGAAAAAAATTAAACTATTTATTAAAAATCAGTCTTATTCTGCGTACACACATCTGACGCTCCTGAAATATTACTAAAATAAGAAGCAGCACATCTTTGAATTATTTTTATATTTCGATACATCATCTCCCGATAAGGACACTCGTGTGACAGAAGTCTCTTTCGGGGTCGAGACTGCGACCCGCTGAAATTCTGTGTTACGCAAGCGACGTCCATTAATGAAAATCGATTACCCATCAGGACTGGTGCTTACACCAACGCGCGTCAAAAGCGCGTGTACACACACCACCTCGTCGCGATAGCCGGCCTGCCGGTAGGTTGCTCAGCTTATATACCTTGATTCCGGGGATTCAAGAGGACACATTAGCTCAACTAAAAGACGTGTGTCTGTACGTATCCCTGGATGCTCCCGATCACCGTGTAATTACAATGACATTAATAATAGATGAGCATACAGATATATTGATCCAGAATTAACGAGCAATGATAACGGAAACCAGCGTATTTTAATCGTATGCTCGTTACAATCAAATTATTATCAAGTATATTTGCTTTTGGTGAAACCTCTGATATTATGATGGTCCTTCCATGAATTTAAACTTATTATAAATTATAAATAATAATTATACACTCTATATATAAAATTAATAATTTCGATTTTTGTTACGAAAACGCACTTATAAATAATGCGAAATATAAAAGGAATAAATTAAATGCTGCATAAATATTACAACGTAAAAATTTATGAACGTTATTCGTATTCACCATTTACAATTGATATTTATAAATATATATATAGATGTATGTGTGTGTGCGTGTGTGACATTATTTAATTTGTAAAATTTAAAATATGCACAGTGTAATATTTTTAAGAATACATATTTTACAATAAACAATATTTAAATTTGTTAACAGAAAAATTAAAATAAAATCTATTTTACAGAAAGGAATAAAATTCAACAACTAAAAGAAGAGAAATAAGAAAATTTTTGTATGTATAAAATGAAATAGATACGTATGTCATACGTAGTATGTGTTATTTGTTCAAGGACATACCTTTTTACATACAAGTTATAACAAGTTTGCAGAGGAAGGTAGCGTTTTTACTCAGTTGGCTAAATTCTTATTGGCAGGGTGAGTTTTCCCAGAAGGGTTACACGGTAGGAAGGTGCACTGAGCGGCAAGTTTCACATTGAGCTATAAAATTCTCTAGAACGGCGCAAGGGTGAGGGCGGAAAAATCAATTAGACTGCCTTCGACAGCCACGTCGCCATGATTCAGGAAACCGATAAATCTCAGCTCAGCGACATCAGCACCTCGACTGAAGTCTCGAGTATCTCGCGCCATTTCCACGTTCTTTTCCTTATCCTTTTCCTTCTCAACGTTGATTCTCAAGCGCAACGAGCGTCTAACGAAGGTAAAAGCGAGATACTTTATTGATACTTGATTATTCTCAAACAAAAGGTAAGCCAAAATTTTATTCGAAACAGATTGTATCGAGTAAAGGATATGAATAAAAGAAGAATTCATACAAAATGCATTATGAGATTTAAATATATTTATACAGATGATTTAATTATATACGAAAGAATTTCAAAGCAAATCTGAATTTTTCAATTAGCGTAATCAATAACTTTAATTGAAATACAGAAAAATTGCTTTTAATTAAATTTTAATAAATATATATTAATATATGGAACAATGTTCAAGATTGAATGTATAAAATATGCTTTGTAAAAAAATATTTTTTAACAGCGATAGAAAATTCGTTTTTTTTTTAATTTATGACAATCCTTTAATAGATTTAAATGAGAGCAATTCATTTAGACTTTTAATAAATGCCATCAAGATTCGAAGACCGTTTCTAATGCCATTATGTTTGCCGGTATATTCTAGTCCATGAATCATAGTAGTTTATAAGTGCCCGGTGTAGTGAATAATTCTGAACGCCCTCAGAATCGAATCGACAGAATCTGTATAAATCGCAATCACAATGTCGGCGGCGACTTTACCTCTACGTAGATATCGTCGGTGCACGACATAGTAGGTGCAGATAAGAAATTACTACCATATACCGAATTGAAAAGGTCTCCCATGTTCGCCGAATGGATTCTTACCCGGAATATGTCACCATATTTCTCGTTCTCTGAACGGCACCACGCGGAAACGGATAGATGCATTATAACGATTATATGAGTTCAACTTACAAGCTACAGACTTTTGCGAAAAGTTTGATTTTTTTTAAATATAAAAAACTTGCGTATTCTGCTACGTATAGGTATGTGTATTTTGCCTGCCTTGTTTTATGCATCAAAAATTTTCTTAATCGATAAAAAATTGTAATTTATTAATGTCAAAAGCTGCGTTAAAATTATTATTTATATTTATGTTTGTATATTATCAACTATACTTTTCATTTCTATAATGTGCAAAATATGACCAAACATATAGAATCAACGATTCTCAATGCTTTCGTGAAGAAAGGCTGGTAATTTAGAAATCTTTAGAGTGCAAATTGAAAGACGATTGCGGAGTACTTTGACTTCTTGGCGCGGCTAGCATGATGCTCCGTCGGAAGTCACAAACTCAGATAAAGGTAAAGAAATATATCGAAGCGATGGAGTTGATCTTATGGAAACTTTGAGAATATGAGGTGAAACGTTTTGAACAGAGAACGTTAAGAACAATCTTTCTCTCTGTTATATATAAATAACTCTGTTATAAATAACTTACGATGCTTAATATGCTTAGTATGTTTAATATGCTTAGTATGCTTAAATATTTTTTTTCTAGATAAAATATATCTTCGTTGTATATAACAGTAATAACAGTGAATTTAATGGAACCTTACAAATTTTACGTATATTTATAACAACGTAAAACATAATTTATTAAAAATAATTTTTAAAAATCTTCTAAAAAATGTCATTTTATCTACATGCAATAATTAGAAAATGGTTGTTCTATGTAAAATACGTTTCTATCTCCTCCTGTAAAGTTTAATTTGCTTCAAGCTCTTTAATAGAACAGTTTAAATAAATATAATATATTAGTTACTGAAGTAAAAAATAAGATAATGAAATTTAATCTGTAATGTATTAAAAAATATTAATTTATAAAAATATTTGAAAATATTTTCAAGATAGTATATATAACATACATATTGATACAAAATGATATAATAATATTAAGAATTTATAATATTCTTATGTATATTATCATTTTACGGGAAATATTTTATACGATTCAAAAGTTAAGTTGTATTTTCCAGTTTCAATAAATATAGATTGTTCTATAATAGCACCGAACGAAAGGAAACTGCGAACAAAGTTCCTATCGAGTTCGAGAACGAAAGTATAGCGGGTGTCCAGTGTGAACTTTCTACTTCATCTTTAGGGACTTTGTTTCGAGGATTAGAGAGAAGAAGGGAAAGCTAAGTGGAGGGCCGATTAAACCAATATACCGGAAGCCCATGTTGTGTGCTCGAGTACGTTCTTCGTTTCCTTCATTTTCGTCGCTTTCACCTTCCTTCATGGCTCTCTCGAGAAAAAGAGGCTAACGATTAATTACGTAACTTTATTTTCCCTGCAGAAGATATCTCTATCGATATACCTGTCGATGTTTGGCTTGTAAATGTTAAAAATCATACGTGCAATAATAACATGAACAATATATCATCGCGGTTTATCGCTTCCTTTTAAGAAAATTTGTATTTTACCTGCTTAATGTTATACCAACGCCATTATATGAAAACAATTCTAATAATTTTAGATTATAAAAACGCTTTAATAAAAAAAGATTATAAAAAAAAAATAAATTATCACAAAAATTAATATTTAATAACCGTGGATGTGATTCAAGCTATCAGATCGAAAGAATTTAAAAAATATTATCTGTTATACGGTATTTATTTCTTATTTATAAAGTCTTTAATCTTTTTGTTAACTAATTATAACCAAATTGTGAAAAAGTGGAATATTAATCAAAAATTAAAAAACGTGCATTATTTTATAAATATCAAATTAAGATAATCTCTAAAAAGTTCAAATGTAAAAAGATTATTATCATTAATTAGAAAAGTATGTTTTCTTTATTGCAAACACATATGTGTATAACATGTTCTCTTTCTCTCTCTCTTTCCATTTCTTTTATTTTTATTTGTTTTGTTAAAATATATCCCGTGTAGGTTTTTCTGCTTCGAACAATGTGGTTACGATTACCTCATTTTATTCCGTGTGCGGAGGATTACAGTCAATTTCGGAATAAGCTCGAACCCGCCGCCTACTCTCACGCATGAATCGGCAGCTAATAGTTTAATGCTTCCTCGATTTCGCGCTCCATCGTGCCTCTACCAGAGAGAAACCTAATGTAACTAAGGAAGCTTGGCAAAGTTTACGTTGCAAGTAAACGTTATGAAAATTCCTGCTTTCAGAAATAGTTAAGTAGACCATTTTTTTCCCTTTTATTCCCACATTCTTCAAAAAATGAACAAAGAAAATTGCTCTTAAAACATACCAGGCACCAATAACTAAAATGTCATAAGCGTTACAAAGGCACAAGTAAAATAAAATATTTAAATAATTCTTTCGTTTTCAATGAATTGATTAATTTTAATTAAATATTAATAAAGTAATAATATTAAATTAATTAATTAAACAATTAAGTATTAATAAACTAATTAATTTTGCTAATTACTGCTTAACTGTATTTGACACACACATGTACAGCATTTAAATTCAAAAATAAAAAATAAGTATATGTATTGCACTCATAAAACAAGCCGGCTTGTTAGATAATTTTCCAATTTGCTTCAATAAGGCAATTATTCTCTATACACGCATTGCATTTGTACAGGAATTTACTCGAGAATATTATATGGTTTGATCCCTTTATTAAACGTAAAAAAGTGTCTGACATTACAATAGTACGCGTCGTAGCAGCGTGCATATCTCGCTTTTTTCGCCTTTTTTTACCGCAAATAAATTTTCATGGCGCAGTCAGCAAGTTTCGCGTTAAGCATTTTTCCATTGTGGGCACCAAACGAAATAAAATACACGCAGCTTCATACAACATGTGGTTGTGCTGACTTACCGTAGCGCTATCACATGTTGGCCGTTTGCAAGTCAGAAATACATTCACGATATTCAGATGGACTCAAAAAAAAGTCATCTAGTTGAAAGAGAAAAAAGCTATAATAATAAAAGTAATAATGATTTTGTAAAACTTGTTCTTTTAAAATAAACTATAATATAAACAGTAACAGGGGTCGCACGACAAAAGTTATTGATTAATACAACGGCAAGTTACATGAATGTTTACAAAGACGCATAAAATTACGAAGTAGTCTATTTTCCGCGTAAGACAAACTGTTATATTTTTAAATATAATATACTAAGACTTAATATTCATCGACAAATATTAAGCTCTAATTTGTCGACACAAGTTGGTCGGTGTAAACTACTGAAATACTCAAGTGGGTTAATTCGTTTTTACTTTTAAAATACAGCAAGTTCGTTATGCTCTCAGGCAGGAGGGTATTATAATTTTCTTAGTGCGACGGATAAAAGAATGCGATTTCAGAGTCGGGAGAACCATTTAATTAACTGATGTGAGAAGCTACGCGCAATCGCACGCTAAAATCAAATGGTGGAAGGCACGAAACGGAAAAAGATGCGAATAAATTCGTTTCGGAGTAAGAGCGGTGTGACAAATTTAGAACTGCCGAGCGCATTCGTCATTCTATGCGATCGCTTCGATTAGCCCGATATTCGTTAACAGAAACCGATACACCTTCATCCAATAATTCTTTTCATCTTTATCTGCGAAACTATATAATGAAGAGCTTTGAATTTCGATTACTATATTTCATAACTTTTTTAATCGTATCGCAAGACACCTCTCTCTTTTCCTCTTTTTCCCTTATCGTTGCTTTATAATTTCAAAAATTATAAAAATGATTATTTGTTGTTTTTTAATAGCACAGCGAGATTAAAATTAAAGAAAGAAAGGAAAAGGAAATGCGGAATTCGGCTAATACTTGAATAATCTTATTTTCATTTTTTTATTAAATTTGCATATCTTATTAAATACAATAAAAATGTAATAAAAAATAATGTATTTTCATGTACTATAAAATCTTTTATAAAAATAAGATTTATACAAGATTTACAGGTATTCCTAGATTTGAAAAGTGTATATAAAGCGGTCATTAAACTGTATTATAATAATTTACTGGATAAGACTTTGTCCAAAGAAGACTATAAGTATAATATTATCATAAAATATCGGCGTCTGCTTTCGACCCGCCCTTGTCTGTGGTAATAGGGTATAATATGCTCATCCCTCTTTGCATCAGCAATAAATCTGACCACCACATTTAATGACCCTCGTAATTTAATATATCTATCTAATTCTACGGAAGATCTACCAATTACCATGGGACAATACTCTACTTGAACGCATAAATCTCATCGATAATACTAAAGGATAAAGCAAGATATCTGGCGATAATTCACTTCGTATTGTACTTACGTTTCACAACGTATTCCACTAATCTAATATCACTAGCGTCGCCATATCAATATATTTTGAACGCCAAGATTGTTAAGAGTAAAACAAGACTTATCTGGCGATATATTTTGCATTGTATTACATATCACGATATATTCCACTAATATATACT